CACCCAGTCCTAGTCACTTTGTTAGCTGAATCACCGCAAACGAGCTGGTGCATTACTCTGTTTTCTTTTGGACACAAAAATGTATTTAAAAGTAGAGAGTAAATGAAGCGTGAACTGAAAAGCTAGAAAGCTCAGCTGGACAACTGTTTCCACCTGGTTGGGTCTTATCATCATCAGTGCGCGGATCCATCAACCCAGCCGGGGATCAAAACTGGGACCTCGTTGGCAGAACGCAAGCATGCTACCCTCTCGGTCACCCCGGGGTAGCTGATCAAACCGTGGCCGAGTGGGTAGCATGCTTGCGTTCCGCTCATGAGTCCCCGGGTTCGATTGATTCGCACTGCTTATGAGACCGAACCAGGTCGAAACAGCTGTTTAGTTGTGCTTCCCAGCTTTCAGTTCACGCTTTATTTGTTTGATTCACGATGAATTTACCTTTAAAATTGAATGAGATCTTCTATTACTCACAAACATTTATGATTTGAGGCAATGCAAGAACAACACAGATTTTGCTATCACGTGTCCCAATTGGAAACGAATCCGCACCCAATTTCAACAGTATACCTGTGGCTAAATCGACCAGTGTTGTCAAAACATGTTCTGAATGTGCTTTTGGGGACATGGAATTCGGAGCATATTTCTGCAGCTCAATGGCTCACACACACACACACACACACACACACACACACACACACTCCGAGTGTACTGGTCCGTTTCATCGAACTGAGCGTTCAGATTAACCTTATTTTGGTATAGGCTTTACCGTGGATCCACCAATGCAACCGATGATATCGCTCTGGATCGGAACAAAATAAATGTGTTGGGAACTAAATGTGTGACACGTTGAGGTCACAAATACACACACACACACACACACACACGCAGATTACTCTCGATACATATGGCGTTTATCACTGACTCGTTTTATGAACAATAATGTGGTAACATCGATGATATTGGTGCTATAACTACCATTGACACAACTTATCTTAATACTACTCAAATAAACTAATCAGTAGTATCAGTAACATATTAGTGAATCACGTGTACTCGTTTTTTGTCAAGGGTTGGAAATTCATTGTGTGTGTGTGGATAAATAAACTTTAAACTTAACAATGTGGCTTCAGAAATTGATGCTGATTTCGGAATACAGGAAATATAATCCGTATGATACTACAATGGTTTTTATTATCTAGACCAAGGACATCTGAATCCAGCGAGTGTTCACTCTTCAAACTTTCTTAAAGCGCAGCTAGTAAGCTAACTGAAACTCTCGCTATTATGGCCCACAATGGAAAGCTCAGCCATGCTCAGTACTCTCTTGTGGGTGTTGTTGGTCGAGTGATAAGGTCGACAAAATAATCACCTGGTGGGTCCTGAGTTCGAACCCACCGCTGCCGCCCATCTTTCCATCATTTGGATTTCCACAAGCAACCTTTGTATGCCCACAGCCTTCTTCATGAAATTTTATTGTACATTTTGATGACCAATAAACAAAATAGTAGGTAGAAGGTTATAATTTTTTCGATGAAGGTTTCCTATCCTATTGGATAAACTTGGAACTTCGAGCTCAGGGGACACGAACGGATGGATCAGATACAGTCTACTTGGTTTAATCACATTATACTCATGTGGTTGATGGGGCTTATTAGTGAAAAAGAAAAAAACACTTAAAAATATTTTTGTTTGGCAGATTTAGGTTTTTACATATTGTCATTTGGGAAAAGTTGAGTATTCTCTGTGGGATTCGAACCGACGTGTGGATACCACCTAAAATCCATTTTATCAATTAAAGGGATTGAAGGTGTTCTCTGCTTTTTTCTGCTTGTTTTGAGCGTTAATTCATCTGAACCTCAGTATCCCCCCCCGCTTGGGGAGCTGTTTGCTTTGCTGTGCATTTTGTTTTCTGGTTATTGGAAACTTCTGATTCTCCCGTTTTATCCCCAAATCTCGTTCCTTTGATAGGTTCTTCCAGATCCGAACGCACGAATCGGTGGCTTCTTTAGCAAGGTAAGTGCTTTGTAAAACCTTTGACTTTTCCGTGGTCTGTTCACACCACCTACCCACCCTCGGTGTAGTTTGAGGTTTCTCCGGGCACAGAGTCAGACATTTTATTATACAAATGTGAACATTTGATGCAAGAAAGAAAGATCCCACTAACAGCACAATTCCAATGCTAGTACCATTTCAATCGCGCCTGTGACATTTCCGAAATTCGTATTGGGATCATTTCCAAATTAAAAAAACTAACATCTGAAGGTGTTGAACAAATTCGTCTGTGCAAACTCAATGATTTGAATCTTTGTCTGTAAAGCAGAAGAGTGTTTGTTCACTGTGAATGGACGCTCATTAACCAGAAAAGAAAACAGTCTCAAATGGGTAGAATTGTCTCGTGTTTATTTCCAGACGTTTTTCACCAAAGAACCCTCCAAATTTTTGAATATTCCGCCATTTAGACAGGAAATAAACTCAGTTAAACAAATTGACGTTCATACTGATGATAGGCTACATGAATTCAGACGGGATATCTTAGAGGCGTAAACAATTATGCCCACACATACCTCTCTCGTTTCTGACCAACTGTACAAGTTTACCTTAAGCTATACGATTGCGAGGACTGAGTCACAGCCAATATCGATCAGATGGTTTCGAAAAACACACAATCCACTCTCCAGAATTTTACAGATCACAGATACGCTATTCGCTCCCAAACCAGTCACTCACACACACACACACACACACACACACACACACAAACACACACACAGACTACCCATTGAACTACAATGTGATCCTGCGATCTCATGTCAATCAGTTTGGATTCTGTCAATCAAGTCAAACCCGATTACGCTTTGATTAGAAATAGTCTGCCGTTACAAAAAACGAAAGTTAGTCATTTGGTCCGATTAGTCCGGATTCTAACCCCGGATCGTCGAAGGTCGATTTGGGAAACATATCAGCTGAGCTAATACAAGGGACATGACATAAGGTAATTTTCCCGGATAAAAGTCAGTTACCACATACGCATTTAATAAATTAAAATAAGTTACTTAATTGGTCCTAATCAGTCTATCTTTCCTGATGTGTTGTAAGGTACTACTCGTATTTGTTAGTAGTTTTCGTGCACAACGAAGCGGATGTTGGATTTCCAGGGTATCCGCCAGCAACTCAAAGTGTTTAGTATTGCAACAATAGAAGAGACAAACGGACTATAAGGTTAACAATCATCAATGATGAGACCATCAAAAAGAATACTAACCGATTGTTGCAACTGAGATGTTTCGTTCCGTGTGACATCTAGTTTACCTCCGGCCAGATGCTGTTCTTCAAATGAATGATTTTTCTTGTCTCGGTGCTACCTTGTGATGCTAGAATTGAAAATCAGTACTGTCGGTCCCCGTATTCGTAGTAGATGATTTCAAATTGTACATATATCTGTTCTAACCCCTTACAAAATACAAAACTCTATGGAAGTGATGCTTGGCACCAAGTTAGTTGTCAAATTAGGCAAAAGTCACGGCCAACTGCAAGTAATCTTTGGGTGCTGGTCAGATATTCGCTCATTTTCTGTCACGTCTCAATGTTTCGAACAGTGAGGCTTTCAGTCATCTACTAAGTGTCTCACTCCGAGGCTTCCACTTCCATCCAACATGATCTTAGAAGTAACAGGCATGAGGAATCAGGGAGAAGAATACGCACTTTGCACCTGACCAGGAACCCCGCGACGCACACACAAGAATCCTAACGGGGTTCAGAATTCTACCTTGATTTATTGTCCGTACTTTCTATGCTTCGTGTTTAAACTGAAATCTACAGTCTATGGGGGTGGGTGTACCTTAAGCGA